CGGCCACAGTGTCCTAGGTTGCTAAGAGCTCTTAGCAACTTGTGATGCTCTGTCTGGCTTCCCACCCAGCTCACTGACATCACTGGTTTCCAGGAGCTTGTCGAGATGCCATCCAGAGCATCCCGCTCAGCTCCCTGGCAACCAATGACATCAGTGAGCTGGGCAGGAAGCCGGACAATGCGTCACAGGTTGCTAAAAACGCTTAGCAACCTGGGACACTGGCCGTTCCTCTGGTTTGGCACTCTCATTTGACCTAATCACAGCAAAAATAGCAGCACCAAGCAGGATTCTCATGGATGTCTACACAAGGTAAGTTTTTGGGGTAAATAAAATGTATTAAATATAGTAAGTGCGCAAACGTCCTGGTGACAGGTTCTTTTTAATGTCAGCAATTGCGGGTCTTGATGCAGCTCTCCCTTAAACATAAACAACATTTCTTATTGCCTCCATGGATTCTTTTTTATCACATCTTTTCCCAGTGTACAAACTCCACTGTTTTGTTGTTTCACATTTTTAAAATGCATTTAGATTTATGGGTATCCTATGTAAAAGAGCAGAAAAAACTCACAAAATGAGTATAGCCATTTATTTACAAAATTGTACAAAGACATACGAGCATATAACAAAGTATTCAAAAAGTCTGAATGGATTTAGAAAACTTTACAAACACATCTATAAATATGGTATATAAATATAGTAAAAATAAATGTACGTTAAAAATAAATTAAATATAAATAGTGCATTAAAAACCAAGTGCTTAGAGAAAAAAACATCTTACTTATAAAGCAACAATAAAACGATCTTTTAAACATTACATATGCACAGTGTTTTTTTTCCTGTAATTATTATTTGCTGGGGTGGAATACATTCCAAAAGCTGTTGCTTACAGTAACAAAATCAGAAGCCTCTTATGTATGCTAAAATAATTGAATTATCACCTAAATGTTTAAAGTATTTTGATTTAAAATGAGCCTGTTAGGTCCTACAAGGTGTGGAAACTATCTATGCTAATAAAGTGCAGACACTTGTGGTGCCTGCATGTACCTTTGTTTATTCTCAAATATCGTTGACTTTATATGGACACATGGCCATAGTAGGTCAATGTCATTGACCAAATATGGTCATGTGGTCATATTAGGTCAATGCCATTGGCCAAATATGGCAATGTGGTCATATTAGGTCAATGTAATTGATTAAATATGGCCATATGTGGTCAATGTCATTGACCACATATGGCAAAGTGGTCATATTAGGGGACAGGATAAAGCGATTTCATTTACCTGATCCCCACTCACGCTGGCTCCCTTTGGGATGCTAGACTGGTCTCCACAGCCTCTGTTCCCTTTGCTCCGGCGGTCTAAGGACCACTGATGTCAGAATGTCTAATGCAGGTCAGTGGGGTACGTGAGGACGCAGAGGAACAAGTTGTATCGGAGGGGTAGAAGTGGAGTATGCTGACCACTGGGCGAATATGGATCATGTAAGAAAAACAGCTTTGCTCTAGAAATAAACAAGAAGGTAGCCCTTGCAGCAAAGGGGCAGCCCCACTACAAGGGTAGTTTTTCGGTTTGTCTGGAAATAGACTCCAAACTACTCCTCTAAATGGTTGCTATGGTTGAATCATTTGCTTCATCCCTTTCAATGAATCCCTGCATTGTAGTCTATAAAAATTGGGTTTACCATCATTGCAATCATGATATTCTCACTGGATATTCTGTGTTCTATACTTTACATTCACAGCCATGGGTTAATGGTATGTAGCTTTTCATGTATCTACAAATGTGAGGCCTATGATATGACCGCTGGACAAATTTCAGGAGTCAGATACCCAAAGCACCTTCAATGGTATTCCTGGCACACAAGTGTTTGAGCCTTGTCTGCCTTTGCCAGTGATACCTGGTGTCTGCTGACTCCTTAAAAATGCCTTCTGGCTCCTATATAGGATGGACTGGCTCTTTGTTTCCAAAATATATTATTTACCATTTTGTATATCCAGAAACATATTATCTACAATATCCTGACATACAGATATGACAAAAAACTCCAAACAAATTATTTTTACATTATCCTCAATCTTATGCAAGCTATGCATAGCCAGATAAACATGCTAGCATCACTGAATCACCGCTCAAGGATATCTTCTGGCTCCAAGGACCAGAAACTGGTGTTCTATCATTTCTTTAGAATGATCATAATGCCTGGATGATAGCACCTGGACTAGGCCACATATTATTTATATAGGTCTTTTAACGTTATTGCAATGTTCACAAAATATACCCCAAATTTTTGTTCTTGTGGTCTGCAAATATCTTTCTCCACTATGAAAAGAAGATGGTAAGATGACCTTGGAGTTGTATTTTGCAGTAACTTCTGTTTTTGTCATTTGGCCCATTTTTTATGGGTCATCACGGATTCGTTACATAAATATTGCTCGTAATTGTTTTTTTTTTCCCAGTAAATCCCAAAATTCCATTCGCTACTTTTTGTGAAAACTCTGATAGTCTATGAGTCCGAAGGGGTCCATGCTCTTGACATCCGGAGAATTCTTTTTGTCGTCATATTGAAACTCATCATCTTCATCCTCCTGAGAATGGTTGCGGTCTAATGGTGGACAGGGTTTTATAGGTAAGAAGTGGGACAGCGGCGGATGTACTTTTCCTTTTGAATGCAGCCTTTGCTTGTCTTTGCTGAGAGAGACTACCATCCCATACTGCTGAGATTTATACAGATTATGTCCATTAGGAAGAAGTTCCTCTTTGAAAGAACATTCTTCGGGAGAATAGAAATCCTGCAAATTGAAAAGCAAGGCTTTAGTACTTCAGAAATTTTGAAATGAAATATGTAGCTAGGTGAAGCTTCTTGAGGCATTAGATGGTGGCTGGCTATGCATGTGTGTATTACCGCAGCTCTGTTTAAGTTCTGCAGTCAGTAAATACATCTTTTAATTGTAGAACCGCTTATTCCCTTGTCAGTTAGTATAAAGTGAACCTTTGCCATAATGTGGGCATTCAGATAAATGAGCATTAAATGAGCTTTAAAAAAAGCCAATTTGGAGCTCATTAGCAGGCACTGTGGAGCAATTCATCCACAAATTCAAAGCAGAAGGCTTTAAAGTCAGTCGAGTCTTTCTCTCAGATGACGCAGCTTCCCCTGTCCTCCCCAGAAGCAGTGACTCATCAGATTACCAGCTTTCTAATTTCTAATATAAAACTAATTGAGAGCTTATTTTTAAAGCTAATGCTTACTACGAATAGGTAAATACTAAAATGCCCATAGCCTGGCCACAGGTTCATTTTACATTGAAAAGTTGGTTAGTAATACAAAGCATGATCCATATATATATTGATTGTATTCATTTACAATTAAAAATTGTTCTATAAACACGAGAATTCTCATCTGGCCAGTAACCAATAACCACTACAGTTTCCTTTGAAAATGAATATAGGTACAGCCACAGTAATGTCAAAGTAGAACTTTATTTGCTAGGGATAGCAGATACCGAGTATTTGGGCGAGTACTCGTACTCGCCCAAATGCTCCGATGCCTTGCCCAATACCCGTACTTCTGGTATCAGGAAGCCGAGCAGCGAGTCATTACAAGCTGCCTGTCTTCCTGTTTGGCCGGGAAGCCGGCTCCATGCTCCCTCCTCATCAGGTGCCGTGTAATGACTTGCTGCCCGGCTTCCTGATTGGCAGAGAAGCTGACCAATCAGGAAGCCAGGCGGTGAGTCCTTACCCAGCTTCCTGTTTGGCTAGAAAGCCGGCTCCATGCTTCATTTTTGGCACAGGAGACTGCATATCCCTACCTCCAAGCATTTTTTTTAAACTTTACTTCCACTTTAAGAATGAGAATATTTACTGGTAACAATATAATGCTTCCAGCGTATTTTTAGAAACTGTTTGGGGTCGGTGGCCCTCTCAGCTGTCTAGTACCTTTGAACAATTCCACTACTAACAGAGCGCAGTCACCCGACTGTCCAAATATACATTATGCATTGTTGAGTGAACCAGAGTTCGTTCACCCGTCATTACCGAAACAAAACTAAAGCGTGAGGTGTGAGAAGGATTGTACAAAGGGTACTAGAAGGGTCAGATGATAAATCTGTGTACAGGACAATTCCACGCCAAAGCATATCATGCTGAGTAATGGCGCTAATGCCTGATTTATCAGGGAGAAAAGTCAGACATATATATGGCTGAGCAAACTGCACTGCATTGACCTTAATTACTCTTACAACGTTACTGATTACAATAGGTGGGAAGTAAGTAGTTCCCAGCTCTTGTTCCTTCTAACACAGCACATTTTGTTGGCCTTTTCAACACAGCAATCCTCTTTGACCTTAACGCTGAACTCCCGGATAAGCAAATATTGTCTAAATCAGGCAACCTCGGCACTCCAGCTGTTGTGGATTGCCAGTCTTTGACAGTCACAGGCATGACTCCCAGGGGCAGAAGCATAATGGGCTTTGTAGTTTCAGCACAGCTGGAGTGCCAAGGTGGCCTACCCCTGGTCTAAATACCTGAGGCTTGTGTATTCTTACGTGAATCTTGGTAAGCTTTGTTTATTTCTTCCAAATCTGTGTGGGAAACCTTGCCTCTGTGCAGGAGCTTCCTGTAATAAAGACCGGTCACTGCTGCTCTCTCTACTTGTGCAGGGTGACTGGTCTTGTCTCCACCCCCTCCTGTAAAAAAGACCGGTCACTGCTGCTCTCTCTGCTTGTGCAGGGTGACTGGTCTTGTCTTCGCCCCCTCCTGTAGTTTTCTGCAGGCAGCCTGTAGAAGGTGCAGCCTGCTGGGTCTTAAGAGCACCCTTTTATGTGTATTTAGTCAGCATATGCATTATAGTGTTACTGGCACTGCATGGCTCTCAGTAAATATGTTTTAATAACTTCATGGCATTAATAAAGTGACTTTGTCATGATCGTCCCGCAGTGAATGAAGCCGGAAGCGACAAGCTTTTCGTCACTTGCAGTTTCAGCACTGTCATTCCTCGGTCGCTGTGGCCAGTGAAGAATTTCATTGAGCACAATCTCAATTGTTTGATTATCCTTAATAGATTGCTTGACTCACATTCAATCAACTGTTATTGAAGGTGCCAGAATGAAAATTTTTGTCCGAACATCGCCTGCATCTCTCTGCAGTCCCTGTTTGGGTATTCAGCAGTTGCAGGATTACCAGCTGCTGAATACAATAGCCAGCAGGTGGAGATTGCCCCATCTCTGCGAGGCTGAATGAGAGAAATTCGAAGCGCGTATGGCCAGTTTTAGTCACTGACCTGCAACAAATATGCAGATCGGGAGTTCTGATTTTGCTCTGACCTTACAGAACTGTATGCATGTCCCGAGTCAATGATGGTTATTTACTAAAGGAGTTGAGAATCTTTCCTCATAAACTGTAGCACGGTTCACTTTGAATACCCCAACCAGCGCTGCCCCTATAATGAGGCAGCCCGAGGCGGTCGCCTCAGGCGGCATCCCTGGCAGGTGTGAGAGGGTGGCAGAGATGTGGCTACAGCGTCCCAGGTTGGGGCTCTTAGCAACTTGTGACACTTTGTCCAGCTTCCCGTCCAGCTTCCCGCCCAGCTCACTGATGTTATCAGTTGCTAGGGAGCTGAGGGGGGCGCGCTGGCTGACGTCCCGTCATGCTTCTGGCAACCAATGGCGTCAGTGCCCTAGGTGGGACCGGACAGAGCCGCTGACAGCACGGTTCTAACACAGCCGCCCGCCTCACCGCATCAGCAGCACCTGCCACCTCCCTCCCCCAGCACTACCCGTCGCCCCTGCCATCCACCAGCACTATTAGCAGCAGCGGCCACCCCCACTGCCCGCCATCCCACAGCACTATCAGTAGCATGTGCCGCCCCCAACGCCCGCCATCCCCC